TACCCTGACCTCAAGTCTCTTTTACGGCAGTGCCTGACATCCCCATTTGAATGACTCACAGGCACCTCAGAAATTTGTCTTTACCAGGATTCTTGATTTCCATCCCCCATCTCCAACAACCCTATTTCCTCATTTCAGCAAAAAATGAAGGAAAAAACCACCTAGGAATTATCTTTAATTACCTTTTTCTCAACCTGTATATCCCATTTATCTGAAGTTCTGTTAATTCTGTCTCTAAAACTCTTTGTCCATTTCTTTATATTTTCATTCCCATTAGCTACCTGTCCAAGTCATCTCTCTTACTCCCACCTTTGTCCCCATTCACTCTAATGCACAGCAGCCAAAGTAGTGTTTAAGAATACGTCGGGTCTTTTCTCTCTTGTTTAAAACCTTTAAACAACTTCCCATTGCTTTTAAAATAAAATCCAAAATCTTTGCATGACTTGCTTGTCTTATTCAGCTCATAGAGCCTCTTACTACCTTCTCATTCACCACACCATGAAAACAGGTAATTTCCTTTCTCTGAATCATGTAGAACAGTGCTTGGTACACAGAGGACACACAGGAAATTTTCTGGAAAGTATGAATAAGTGAATGGCTGACAAGGCCCTTTGTCTGGCCCCTGCCTCAGCTGTCCTCTTTCTACTTTTCCATGTCGTGACCTGTTTCACCACATGCTATAGTAGAACGAAACTAGGCAAGTCTCTATTACAAACACTTGAGTGATGGCAGAGAGATCAAAGTGAGAGTCTGGGAGACAGGTGAAAACTCAGTGATGGTGTCCACAGTGACTAACTTGGCTACTCTTCCTCTCTGGTGGACTTCTTTGGGCTCCTCTCAGATCACACCTTAAAGTGGTTCTAGAGCTTTCTTTTTACATTTTAGTAAAATATAAATGACATAAAATTCACTCTTTACAAAAATCAAGAAACATACCATCAGCATAGATGGAAACAAAGGAAGCCCTCCTAGCAAGACCAGTAAGCCAACAAAGTTGAAACTTGCCTGAGTTAATCAGAAAGAACACTGGGAAGTGAAATAACAGATCATAACATAGTCTGTCTCAAAACTTTCATAGTGACCTACATACGATTCAGTGTAATAAGCACAGTCACAGTGTTTTGTAACTGTCACCACTGTTGTATTCTACTTTTTGTCTCTATGAATTTGCCTGTTGTTGGTACCTCACATAATGGAATCATACAAAATTTGGCTTTTTGTGTCTGGCATCTTTTCCTTAACATAATGTTTTCAAAGTTCATCATCTCGTAACACGTACCAAAATTCTATCACTTTTATGGGTGAATAATATTTGAGTTTGTTTCTAATTCATTTATCCAACAAATATTAGTTGAGTACTTCATTAAAGGCCAAGCACTATTCTGGGCTCTATGGAGATAGCAATGAACAAAAGAGAGAAAAATTATTACTTCTTTATTCTTGCAAATAACGAAGTGAATGTATAGTGTGTCAAACAGTGACAAGTGCTATGGAACAAAATCAATATTTCAGGGATTTATAGCTTTGTAGGAAATAGAGATCTTAGTGGTAAGGTGGGACTATTCATGTAGTCCCTGGGAGGAGTAGTATAAGAATTTTGTATTTCACTCTTCGGAGAGAAGTCAGTAAGTCCACAGAAAGTTCAGAACTTGGCTCAGCGGCTCATGCCTGTAATTCTAGCACTTTGGGATGCCAAGTTGGGAGGATTGCTTATGGTTGGGAGTTTGAGACCATCCGGAGCAACATAGCAAGACTCCATCTTCACAGTTTTGTTTTGTTTTTTTTTATTAGCCAGGTGTGGTGGCACATACCTGTAGTCCTAGCTACTTGGGAGCTGAGCCTAAAGGATCACTTGAGCCCAGGAGTTGGAATTACAGTGAGTTATGATCACGACACTGCACTCTAGCCTAGGTGACAGAGTGAGACTCAGTCTCAAAAAAAAAAGCTACAGTGACATAATCTCACCAATGTTTTTAAGGAAGACTTTGGCTTTGAACACGGCAAAGGGGAAATAGAAAAAACAGTTGTGGGGTGTAGGTGCCAAGGTTCCCTTGAAACCAGAACCAATAGGATGTGTGTGTGGGTGTGTGTGTGAGAGAGAGACAGAGAGGGAAAGAGATTTATTTTAAAGAATTGGCTCATCCAATCTGGAAGCTGGCAAATCCAACATCTATAGAGTAAGCCAACAAGTTGGAAATTCAAGTCTTGAATCTGAAATCTCTAAGACAGGACAAGCAGGCTGGAAAATAAGGCAGGGTTTCTATGTCACATCATCAGACTAAATTCCTTCTGAGGCAGAATCGGTTGCTGGCGATCTTTGGCATTCTTGGCTTGTATCACCCTGATTCCAGCCTTCACATTTACATGGCCTTCTCCCTGTGTGCATGTCTACGTCCAAACTTTTCTTTTTTTATGGTAACAGCCATCATACTGAAGTAGGGTGGCCTTCGTCTCAATAAGTACATGTGCAACAATCCTACTGCCAAACAAGATCATACACTGAGGTTAGTAATCGCTACAATATATGTAACATGTATGTAGGTTAAAAATTGGGGAGTGAAAATCAACCTTTGACACAGGGTAAATCTGTGAATACAGGAAGTGGTTGGATTTGGTATATAAAAAGGAGAGTCAGGATATTCCAATATCTGTGACCTGAACAAAAATTATTAAGTTGCCATTTAGTGAGATGGCAAAGACTATAGGAAGAGAAGGCTTAAAGGGAAAATCTAGAGTTCAGCTTTAGTTCAGTGGGTAGGGCACTGGTGACATACACTGAGGCTGGAGGGTTCAAACCCGGCCCAGGCCAGCTAAAACAACAATGACAACTGCAACAACAAAAATAGCAACAAAAATCCAGGTGTTGTGCCTGTAGTCCCAGCTACTTGGGAGACTGAGGCAAGAGAATAGCTTAAGCCCAAGAGTTTGAGCTTCCTGTGACGAGCTTGCTGTGAGCTGTTCCGTCATGGCATTCTACCCAGGGCAACAGCTTGAGACTCTGTCTCAAAAAAAAAAAGAGTTCACTTTTGGATATGATAAGTTTTCAAATAAAGCTCCATTTCCTACCGTTGGCCCCTCTCTTGGTTAGCAGTACCCATGGCGGGGGTGGGGGGTAGACAGAAGGCTCAGTTACCTTTGCAGGAGCAGAGGAGGCAAAGGTGTTATGTATGTCCCTTACCAGACATGCACATCATCTAAGTAGTTCTCATTATGGTCCATTCCTCGACCCTTCTTCCTCATTATCATTGCCTCCAGCATACAACATCTTTGTATGACATTGCCACATAACCCCTGGAAATAAATACATTTTAGAAGTTGCTAAAAGAATGGATGAAGTCAGAACTAATTATGAGCTGCAGAAATATTCTTTTTAATGGTTGTAATTTCACTAGGAACACTGAGATGAACCTTAATAATAGAAACATGTTATTAATAGTTTGATTGGCCTCAAATTAATATTAACTTCTGACTGTAATGGACACGACCTGTTTAGCTTACTTATACTGTCACCATCCATTCTGCAGAACTGATAGCACAGGCAAAGGATTTGCCTTTATTGTTTTTAAGAACTGTCAGCTAAATTCTTTGATACAAGTGGAAAAACTACCTGTCTTCAGAACTTCTGTGTCCATAACAGAAAGTAAAAATGTATAATATGGCTAAACCACAGCAAAGTGGAATGTTTTAAAATTAAAGTTCAGGAGAAAGTAGATCACTTCATGAAATTAAATCTAACCTCAAATCTCATTATAACACTGAATTGTAATTCTAAAGGTCTTCAGAAATTTTGGTTAAAGAGTACTTTATTCTGCTATGCATGCTCCCTTTATAAATGGTACTGTGTGGACATGAAGGAAAATCTTCACTTTGCCTTTGAAAAGGATGGGACATTGTTTCTATTGACTGGAGCTGTGGTTCATTTTCTAGTCTGCTGTTTAATGGCCAACATGACTACTTAGAATAAAATATTCCCTGAGTCTTTTGGATCCCTAAGGAAGGCTCAGTGTTTTCAGTAATCCTGGTTCCATGGTAATTCCATTTTGTGGTTAATGTCGTGAAACCTTCAGACCTCAGACCATCATCTACAATCAGGCCTAAATGGAAGGCAGGTCTCTCTGGAGTGGGTCCGCAGGCCGCTGAAGGTCTTTCCTCAAATAACTTTCCTCAGATTGAATTTTCTGGCTGCATTGATAACTCTGCCCTTGCCTGAGCCGAAGGAAGTCGATGGATTCCAGCATCCCACACGTTTCTTGCTTCGCACCCACCCACCCATCACAGGCAGTTTAGAGAAGGGCTCGTCCCACGCCAGGCTGGCTGCGAGTGCAGAGTAGGAGGCCGGGAGCCAGAACCCGCAAGCAGGCGGCTGATCAGGAGACCCGCATGGGGAAGGGCAAGCTGGGATTGTCTCCAGAGGAGCCAGGACTCCGAACTTTGTTTGTCCGAACTTTGATTTGGGCCTTTTCTTCTGCCTGAACATTTCCAGCACTTCCCTCACAAGAGTCTCTGTCTTGAAGCACGGGACCGAAGCGAAATGCCTAATGAAGCGTGCGCCAGGAAGGGGCGTGCGAGGGGCTGGGGCGAGGAGAGGAGGGAGAGGGTCAGGTTACCGGTTCGCACGTTCTTACAAAACCATTTGAAAACGGGCTGGCGAGGCCAACTTCTGGGACCAGGAAAGGCCTTCGATGCTCCTTCCTACCCCTCAGGGTTGGGCATTTGTCTACAAGTGTGCTGGGAAGTCACTTTCAAGTCCCTGCATGGGGTCAGGAAGGTGGTGGGTGGACTCAGACAGGCTTTAGGTGGCCAGAGTCTGGAAGGTTCTCTCGACTTCTTAGCGTAGTCTCTCCGGCCGGGGAGCCGGTGTCCACCGAGGTTCCTGCCCGCAGAGCTTGCTCGGCGCTGGCTGAGCGCCCACTCCCTCTCCAGCCCCAGCCCCAGGGCATCCTCCTCCCGGGGGAGACCAATGCTCGCGGCTCTGCTACTGGGCGCCAAGGCCAGCTAAGAGTTTTCCAAAACGCCCGTTTCCCACCTCGAGTGAGGTGGCGCTGGTCCAGAAGCCGCCCGGCTCTCCGCTCAAGCCTCTAAAATAAATGGGCTTTGCCAAAAAGCGGGGGAGGGAGTATCTGAGAGAGAATGAAAATACTAGAACGACCCCATTCTCCAGGAAAAGGTAATGAGGGGAAGTGAAACAGTGTGAACTTAGTCGGAAACGCGAACCAAGTTCAACTAACCCCAGCGCATACAAACGACTCCAAGACAAATCAGCCGCGGCGCTCGGCAGCTTCCCACAAGGGCCTCATGAATGAGAATGGGTTGCTAGGTTTCCTGCCTCTTCTCTCCCGACAATCGCTTCCCACAAGACTTCCACCGCCGAGAGAAAACATGCCGGGCCTGGTGACTGCGGGGCGGGAAACCCGCCAGCCCCACGCGGCCGCTCCCGCTTCAGGACCGTGGAGAGCGGCCGCCGAGCCCCAGCCCCGGCCCCAGCGCCCGGCCCCGCGCAGCGCGCCTCCCGCGCCCCCACCGCCGTCCCTTCGATTCGCTGTTTCTTGCCTCCACCTTCATTTTCCTTGGCAGCGGCCACTCTTGTTCTTCACATACAGATTAAATTGTTTTTTTGTTTTGCTTGAGGGGGTGTTTGGATTGGCCGAGTTAGGTTCCAGTTTGTATCTACATTAAACGGTAGTGCGCCCAGAAGCCCTGAGAGCGTCTCAAAGATGAAACCCCGAACCAAACAGGCGCCCTTAAAAAGCCACTGTGTTCGATTCCTGCACTTTATAAATGAAGCCCATGAACTCAAAGAATAAAGAGATAGTCCCAAGGCTAGTGCTCAATTTAGTGGCCCCGCTAAGTGTAGAGCCCAGGGCTCCTGATTTCTAAACAATGCTTCCCTCTACTTTTCGGAGAGCGGGGGATCTCATTGCTAGGTCTCCTAAGCAACCCGTGAAAGGTCGAAGAGCCTGTGTTCTCTAAAATAAAATGAACACGTGGAGTGCCACCAGGGGCCCTACAGAGTGTCCACTTGCAGTCACAGTCTCCACATGGAGCCTCCGTCTCTCCACTCCACCCAGCAGACCCAAAGCGGCCAGCCCCTTTCTCCAACAACCTGAAGTGGGTGTGGACCCCTAACCCTTCTTCAGTCACTACCTGAATGTGCTCTGGACGACTGTCCCAATGGACCTGTTAGCCAAGTCCAGCTCAGTTCCTCTGGCAGGTTAGGCCTAGGCGCTTGGGAGGTGCGAAAGGGGGTGGGAGGACCAGAAAGGGTCAGAGGAGGGAGGGGGCGAGCACGGATTGCAAATGTAAACTAAGTGATTCCATCCCAATACTAAAGAGCCAAGAGAGGTGACTCTTCCACATACCCGTCCACATTTCCTGTGTTCACCTCAGACTCGGATGCAGTAGGGTGCACGGGCCTCTATTCTCCATTTATAACGAGCTTCTGGGTGTTGGCAAAGCTGCTAGTCCACCGACCACAAATGAGTTAGGAGAAACGAGAGTGGGTGGAAAACGGAGGAAAGAATCTCAACACAGGCCTTGCCTTTGCTTGCACAGACCTTCTAAGTAACTCCTCAAAATGCTGTAATCAACTGCCCCATCTAAGTGGCTGGACACCGCAGTAACCGTGCGCGGGTTTTGTTTCTCTCTTTCCCCTGTTCCCTGCCCTTCCCGCCGCCGGCCCTGCACAGCTCCCAGACTCGCCCGCTGCCCCGGAGCTGCTCGGCCTCCTTTCTAGCCCGCTCACCAGCCTCGCGCGGTTCTTCTCTCACCTTCTCCGGCGACCCCCTTCTGAAGCTCCCCGATGGCACCCGGACTTCTCCCCCCCCACCCCAGCCCCCGGCTTCCCGCCCTGCCGTCCCCCTGGCTCCCGCAGGGGCGCGAGGAGCTGCCGGGCCGCCTCTCGCTCCTGCTTCGGGCAGCGCTGGCACTGCCCGGCCGACCCCTGGTGGGTAGCCCGCTGAGACCCGCCCGTCCAGTCGCCGAGCCTGGGGAAGAGGACGCCAGCGCTGGGCCGAATTCGCTCTTGCCCGTGAGTACCGTGGTCTCACCACGCCCCACACTCGGCCTCACCGGGACGCCAGCCTCTCTCGCTTCTTCCTAACCCCGACTGACCCACTCCGCCCTGGGCCAGCAGCGGGGAGAGTGGGCAGGTCGGCACAGGGCTGGGCACGTCCCAGGAAGGGGCACCGCCCCTCCCCCGCAGGAGGCGCTCTAAGCCACTTTGGGGCAAGTTCCTCTCCGAGGTAGTTGGAGGCGGCAGGAGGGAGCTCTCGCCCTCCCCCGAGGCTGCTTTCCAAACTCTCGGCGTGTAGCCCCCCTCCCCTACTCCGAGCCTCCCCAAGACCCGCCTCCGCCGGCTCCCGGCACTCGCCTTCCTACTCGGTTGCCCTCTCTGCAGGCAGGCAGGGGAGGAAATGACGTGATGTTATTTTTGTGTCAGGTCAGTTTGTGGCTTGGTCTTAGACCTCGGAGCTCCGGCGCGCTGTGCTCCGCCGCGTCCCATGCCGGAGGGTACCCGCGGGCTCGGGAACCGGCGGCGCTGCGAGTCTGCAGAGCTGGGCAGCTGCGCTCCTTCGTAGCCCCGGGTTTCCCCTCCCCCGGACTCTGGAGTCCCTGGAGAAGGGGGGACAGAGGGCGGCCGCCGGGGGTCTCTGTCCCACCCACCCCCACTCCACCCCAGTGGTAGCGGGGAGCGGCCTCCCGGCTCCAGCTGCAGGGAGAGGGCGAGAAGCCCCTTTCCTGAGCGGGAAAACCGGAGGCGGAGGCTGCACTGGGTAGGGCGGGGGCAGAGCTCAGAGGAGCGCCCCAGGGCCGGGGAGAAGGTAGGGGGTTCCCTCCAGAGGCGCGGCTGGCACCAGCACTGGCTCAACTCTCTGGGACCGAGCCCGCCCGTCACCCCACCCCGCCCTCTGCTCCTTCCATTCACAAGGTCCCAGTCGCAGCACTTTCGAGTCTCCCTCGGCGCCGCGCGCGGGCGAGGTGATGACAGAGGAGGCTCTGCAGGCGCCCTCAGCTCTCGCCTGGCTTCGCGCCCGCCCCTGGGTCCTTCCTAAGCCGCGCTAGAAAGTGGGGCTGCGGGCTGGGCGCGGGCGGCGCTCGCGTGAGGTCCCGGGGGCGCCCCAGCCCCCGCCGCGCTGTAGTGCGCCGCCGCGGGTGCGAGGCGAGACCCGGGATTGCCGCGCCGGGTCCGGGGGAGCGAAGGGGCGGGGAGGAGGCAGAGCCGTGGGAGGAAGAGGGAGGGAGAAGAAGGCGCGAGCGAAGACCGAAGCGGAAAGCCGGAGACCGCAGTCGCCGGCGGAGTGAAGGCAGCGCTAGGCTTTGTAATAAAAATAAGGCACTAGCGGGACGCATGCGCACCGCCAACGGAGGCGAGCCGGCCGGAGCTTCCCCTGCAGCTGGAGGGGTGGACGGTGGGATGGTGAGTATCCCGCTTCCTCAGCACCTTTTTCTCCTCGCACTCTCACTGAGCCCTCGGGCTGGAAAGTGGCAGAGGCTGGGCAGGGCGTGCATGGCCGGCGGAACCTCGGGCTTTAGGGGTCCCTATGCCGCAGCAGTGAGTTCGGGTCCGTGGACCCCTGCGGGGTCCCAGCGCCCTCCGTTAGTCAGTGCAAGTTTGGGGGTGGGGTGTGGGCTAGGGTGTGTCTCCGTTCTAAGCCTGGGAGGAGGGGGCGGTTGTCGACCCGCCTAGATCAATTTTTACCTGGTCGGCCGAGGCGTCAGAGATTGCACCTCCGTGGGTGGGGAACTGTGCCTGGGTGGGGGACACCGCAGTCTAGACCTTAAAGCCTAAAATTCATATTGACCCCCCCAAAGCGTATTTTGGAAACTCCAGGCGGTGAAGCGTCGGCGTTCGTACTGGGTGGAGAGAAGGACGAGGCGGGTGGTTGAGCACAGGTGGGAAGGGAAAGGCGGCACTCCCGGAATCGCGGTGACTCCCTTTCGGAGAAGTGCCATCCAGCCGGGGGACCCGAGGAGCAGGGCCAGGAAGTGGGCGTTCCACACTGGACCCTGGAGGAGCCGACTTGGTGTCAGCGTTTGCCCGGAGCCTCTCTTCACCCTCTGGAGAACCGAAGGGGCACAGCCCTCTGCCGCCCTTTTCCTGCACCAAGACGGTTCAGGTGCCGGCGCTGCGGGGATTTTTCTTAAAGAGTCTCGGGAGTTTGATCTTCCGCACTCTTGCGGCTGCTCTCGGAAAGTTGGACTGAGTCTGGGCGTCCAGGATGCAGAGACTGGAGGGCGGGGGTGGGGCATGGGGACGCGAGCTGCCACCTGGGACAGAAGTAGGCGCTGGAGCGGAGGGTCTGTGAGCTAGGCTGCCGTCCAGCGTTGGGGGAGCGGACGGATTAGGGACCTTTAGAAAGGCGGGTCTCCTAGACAGGGTGGGCTTCTGGGGGGCATGTGTGCGCGGCGCTCTTCCTCCTGTCCCCTCCACTCCAGAGGAGGAATGGGGAGTGCCCTTGGGAGAAGCGGCTCGCCCGGACGCGGGTGGGCGTTCGGGGGTAAAGTGTGTGAGTTGAGGCCCTCGGGCTGCCGGGCTAGTGGGCGGGAGAGGATGGGCTTTGGAGGGAGCCGCTCTGTAACAGTCCTCCCCCCACGCTTATGGAGGAGTGAGTGGCGACAAGGAAGATCCTGGCGAGAGGGGGCGCGCGGGGACTGCGATGGGTGGTGAGCTTTCCAGATTCGCCGGCACCAGAGGAAAACCCCGGGGGAGTGGCCTGCACGTTTGGGGGCGGGCCTGCGAGCGACCCCAGCAGCAAGCGGGGCGCGGTAGTGAACGGCTGCGGCCAGGTGAGGACAGCCCGGCCGGGGCTGGACAGGGCGAAGTGAACGTGGAGGTACAGGATTTCTGTCTGGGGTCTACTTGACACCTTTCCTTCTCAGAATTTGGCAGAGGCGAATTGTTCTTTGTTGCCTCCCACTCCACCCCATCCCCCAGCCTCCTAGCTGGGGTTCACTAGCTGTAGTGTCAGCATCCCCAGCGAGTGCCCTCAGCGCCTGCAGGACCCTGTACCCCGCTGGCTACCTGCAGTCACCCGCTCACGGAGTGTGGGAAGCGGGGTCACTCCCTGAGGTCAGAGGCTTCCTCCTGGCGCAGGTGGCAGGCCCTTGCCCGGCTTGGCTTCATTTCACTTTTAGGGGTTCCAGACAATGGAATTGACTAAACAAATGCCCTAGTTCTGGAGATGTCTGACTTCCTCCCAGACTTGGTAAGGACATTTGTAATGAAATTACACTATCTGTAAGTTCTCTGGTAGAAGCATGATTGGCAATTTACTATTTTCGTTAAAATAGTTGTGCTGGAAACCTAATTTTCCATTGGCTTCTCATCCTGTTTATCTTCTGTTCACTAACTGGCACCTTTTGTATCACAAAGTAGAAACGCATTTGAGAGATAGCATTGCCTATAGTAAGAGTCTTGAGCTCTATAACTGTCTAGGTTCAAATCCCAACCTAGCTATGTGATCTTAGACTAGTTGCTTAATCTCTCTGTGCCTTAGTTTTATCATCTATAAAATAGGGATAATACCTCATGCAGTAGCTGTCAGCATTCAGTAAATGCAGCAGAGCTCTTATGATGAGCACATTCCAAGCAGAAGCTATCAATACTGTTATTATATTGATGTTAAATTTGGTAAGTAGACTTCAAAATATGAAAAAGATCAGGAACAAAATACTTGTTTTTGTATGCTCTAATGAGTATGCATAGGCCAGACATCATGGGTTCATGCCTGTAATCCTAGTACTCTGGGAGGCCAAGGCAGGTTGATTGCAGGAGCTCAGGTGTTCAAGACCAGCCTGAGTTCAGGGTGAAACACCATCTCTAAGTAAAAATAGAAAAACAAGCCAGGCATTGTGGCAGGCCCCTGTAGTCCCAGCTACTTGAGAGGCTGAGGCAAGAGAATCACTTGAGCCCACGAGTTTGAGTTTGCTGTGAGCTATGATGCTAAGCATTCTAGAGTATGCATAATGAAATAGATGTCCTTCCTCAAAATTAGAAAAAATTTTAGGAGAGTCTGGGAACATACCTTAGAAACTAGAAGTGCTAACCTTTCTGAAATCACTGTAAAGATTTTAGCTAAAATACCCTTCATATCAAAAATATAGAATGATGAAAATCAGATGACTTATTCTGTTGCCTTTGTTTTACAAATATGGAAACATTCAGAGAAGTTAAGGATCTGAGCCCATGATCTCCAGCTAATTAGGAGTCGAACTAGAATTAGGGCTTTGGTTTGAGGGGCAGGCCCAGTGGCTCACAGCTTATAAATCTAGCATTCTGGGAGGCCAAGGCAGGCACAGATTGTTTGAGCTCAAGAGTTCTTGAACTCAGGAGTTTGAGACTAGCCAGAGCAAAGCAAGACCCCATCTCTACTAAAACTAGAAAAATTAGCTGGGCATAGTCGCATGCACTTGTATTCCCAGCTACATGGGAGGCTGAAGCAGGAGGATTGGTTGGACCCAGGAGTTTGAAGTTCCTGTGAGCTAGGCTGATGTTCTCCAACCTGGGCAATGTGTGAGACTCTGTATCAAAAAAAACCCTTGCATTCTTCCCAGAGTGCTTACACACCACACTGATGATTTCCTGTTTACCAAAAATTTATGAACCTTTAACGAACAGGAAACCAGAAGGTAAAAAGGAAAAAATAGGCAAGCATGTGTTATCTCTTGCACCAAGAAACACCAGGCAGTAATGTTGTGGCTACAGTTGTCTTACGGTTTTGTCATGGTCCCTCACATCATTAGACGTGACCACATGACTTGCCTCAGGAAAGGTGAGGTCACAGATCAACTTAGAGGCAGAGCCAGCATTACAATATAAGGCACCATTTATTCTACTAGTCCGTTAGAACAGTTTTATATTAGAAATAATTATTGAGCTTTTCTTGAATTCTTTTAAAATCTACTGGCTTTGAAGGTCTTTCCTATAAGAAAGTCTTTTAGCAAAGGTCTTCAGGATGACACAGAAGAAGATTTTATTATTCTAGATTTCGTGGTCTAGCAAGAGTGAAAGAAAAAGCCTTCTTGTTT